CGCTCACATGTCTGAGAGTGGCCTCAGGCCCTCAATGGCTGGTGGGTGGGAAGACCACTCCTCACCCTATGGGCCTCTCCCTGGAGCAGCTCACTAAAGAGTTAAGAGAAGAGTGAACGGGGAGGAGTCATCCATCAGGTCCAGCCCACACCACGGAGAGGGGCTGGCTGCTCCAGAAGCTTCCCAACACACCTAGGACTCGTCTCCAGTCCTGCACACATCCTCTGAGGCCATCTTCAAGATACGAGGAGCACACGGAGTCTGGCCCACATCAGAGTGTCAGATGGACAAGGCTGCGGCAGAGCCCCATCCAGTCATCCTGTTTCTTCATGACTACTTAACCTTGGCCTTGATGTGGACTCAGGGCCACTCTCATGCAGGTTTCCTTGGTTTTCCCCTCATGTTCTTTTTCTGTCCCAGAACACCTTCCAGGGTCCCACACGACCTGCAATCATCATTTCTCCTTGGGCTCCTCTGGCCTGTGACAATTCCTCAAACTGCCCTTGGATGAACCTGACAGTTTTGAGGACTGCTGGTCAGCTATGTTCTAGAATATAACTCCCGGGGAGTTGTCCAGTGATTCCCTCTGGGCTGGTCTAGGGCTTTGGGGAGGAGAGGTCTCAGGGAGCAGTGTCCTTCTCCTCCGTCCCTGGCTGTGCAGCTGAAGGCATCTCCACTGCCGCATTCCTTTCCCCTATCTGTACTGAGCTCTCTGGGCAAGGTCACTCTGCACAGCACAAATCAAGAGGGGAAGTATCTACCTCCGCACCTATCTGCTCCCAGTTTATCAGTTTATTCAACCAGGGGTCACTTTCACTGTGGATTCGTGAATACTTTGTTTATATAGTTTATACTTGGGGTGACAGTGCAATTCTACTTTATTTACTTTGTTATGATTCTTCTGCTCTGCCACTGGGCCCCCTGGATGCCCGTTCACAGTGGATGGTTGAGCAGTTCTGTGCTCCCTGGCCCTACAAGGTGTTCCAAGCTGCTCCCCAAGGACCGGTCACTTCTCCAGGGAGCCTGGGTTCTTTTGCTGGAGAACAGTATCAAAAGCCTATATCTGGGTGATGTGAGTTATCTCCCTAAAGCTCACATGTGAGGCGGTGCAAGGTAATTTATAGGTGAAATGATTGGGTTATGAGAGCCTTAACCTAACCAGTGCATTAACTCCCTGATAAGGATTAACTGTTAGGTGACTGTAGGCAGGTGGGGAGTGGCTGGAGGAAGGGGGTTCCTGAGGGTGTGTCTTTGGGGCTCATATTTTGTCCTTGTTGATCTGAGTTCTCTCTCTGCTTCCGGGTGGCCCTGTACTGGCCTTTCCTCCTCTGCACCCTCCTGCCAGGATATTCTGCCCCACCTCAGGCACAGAACAATGGAGTCGGCTGTCTGTGGATGGAGACCTCTGAAATATGGGCCCCAAGTTAACTTTTTCTTCTCTGTGTGTCCTTGTCAGGTATTTTGGTCACAACAGTGAAACAGCTGATTAAAACACTAGGAAAGGGTGTGTTCACTGCTACTTAGGTTTGGTGGCTTCTAGACCCTCAGCTGGCAGAGCAAGGAACAAAGGGGAACACTGAGCCCTGCATGCCTATTGGTGTCCACGGCCACTCCCTCATGTGACGGCCTATACCTGTGGGGAGGGAACATGAGCTCACATGACGCTGAGCTCTGATCACACCATGTGCATGGCCCTGACACATGAATTACTATAGGACAGGCCAACATGAGGATCCTTGACACCTGCTGCTCCCTTGGCCCAGGGTTTCCACTCCCTAGATATCTACCTGGCTCCCTCCCTCCCATTGGAACATGCACCAGGAGGCTGCCCAGTTCCCCAACCCAGCGGCAGTTCCCACGCCCTCTGTCCTGGATGCAGCCCTCCCACCACCACAGCCCCAGTCCCCACCACAGGAAACTGCAAGAGCGGCCAGCCGTGCTCCTGCCTCCAGGCCCTGCCTCTCCCAGCTGCCCTCAACTTCACAGCCTGGCTTTCCTCTGGCTCTGCACTCACAATGACTCTGCACCCTGCCTCCTTCCTTCTCCACACACGATCCCCTGCTCCCTGACCTTGGTCAGCAGTGTCCACAGGGTCATTCCACTACACATCTGCTCTCCTCCCACAAGGAGTATTCTGTGAGGATAGACTTCTCTGTCTTGTTCCTGTGCCCCAGGCCCAGCTCAGTGCTGGCACATAGGACACACTCAATGCCTATTTCTGGTACAGGTTTATGTAGAGGGAGGAACGAGGCTGGTGGCCACCACCCAAGACAGGCATCACACAAGCTGTGCATTTCTCGCTGGGGCTGTTCAGGGCCTGTCCTCCTGGCCAGGTCTTATTGGCCCACCTCTCAGCAGTTAATGAGGCTCCTCTCACTCTGTTCCCCTAGTCCTGACCTTTAAAATAACAAGTTTATTTCGGAATTAACTAGAGTCAAAAAGAACACCTGCCAGTCAATATGCTGCTCCTCTGCAGACAGCAGTGCAGACCAGCTGCTGCGCTGTTGGAGTCACACCATCAGGGACAGTAATAGACACCATTCCCCCCTGCAGGGTACTTCCTTTCATGGCTGCTCTCTGGGACAAAAGAGTGAGGGCCACATGCTGGGATAGTCCCAGGTAGAAGGTTTCTCAGCTCTGATGCTAAGGAGAAGCTGGGGCATTCCTGACCTCTATGCACACTGATCCCAGGAAACAGGAGCTCTCAAAGGAGGCCATTCCACTCCACTGGCACCCAGAAGGTCACCATGTCAGCCAGCTCAAGGCCGTCCTCCCTCCATCCTGGCCATCCCACACAGTGGACACAAGCAAGCACCCCAAGCCAACACCTAGGCACTGGACCACAGTGAGGGCAGAAGAGAACTGAGCTGAGAGTGTCTGTGGGAAGCATGCCCAAGGCCTCCTGGGAGGCCTGCTGGCCAGCAGGGTTGCCAGCAGCAGGACCTGCGCTCAGAGTCCCCCGGAACAAGTACAGCTTTGTCCACAAGTACCCAGCACAACAGGCTCCCGTGGCTCAATGTGAAGCTCCATTCCATCAGGCTCTGCACCCCACACCTCCCCGAGTTCACTCCCTTTAAAACAAGCCCCCTTGCCTGCCCACGGGCATGTGCCCACTGCCTTAGAAAACACCCTCTGGGGCAGGGAGCCGGCATCATGTAAACCAGGAAAACAAGAGCGCCTGGCTGAGCTGGTGAGAGAAAAAGCAGTTCACCCCACAACGCAGTCCAACCAGGGGAAGGAGCGAAAGGAACAACCTAAGGTCCCCTTCCCTGTGGAGGGCATGGCTGGAGGGGCCTCCGGCGAAGCTGCATCTGGCCTTTATGCAGCACCCCAGGGCTCTCAGGGACTCGGGCTCTTGGGGAGCTGGGGTCCTGGCCTACCCACAGCCACCACACCCATGCAGAGCCCCAGGGGAGCGGGGCCTTCTCCGCTTATGTCCCCTTGGTGTCTTTCCATGCTTGTGATGACACTCCCCATTCATGTCAGACCACTTCTAGTCGGGATCCTGGGACAGGGTAGGGACTCAACAATAACCGTTCTTTGATATGTGTCCCGAGAGAATTTTAAGCTACCTCGTCAGGGGTTAAAGAGTTACTGAAAGCCATCATGGCCAGCCAACAAACACCCCAGCTTAGGGCAGAGTTATCACTCAGCTGGCCTCCCATGATTGCGATGTATCTTCATTGCCAAAAGATGCTATACAATTTCATGGTTACTTGGTCCTGTAAAATAGAAATACCCCCAATTTTTAAGAGATGAAAAGGTTTACGACTAGGTACTATCAGTTCATGAGTCCATGGGACAAATGAGTCAATTCATGACAAAATTTAATTTGAGGAAAATTAACTCAATGCAGAGGGCATAATCGTGCTCAAAGTTTTAATACCTACTAGGTGTCTCAGGGAAGTAGCAGAGGATGTGGGCGAGCTGATCCAGCTCCTGGTTCTTCAAGAAACAACTGAGTCACTATCATTTGTCGGTGATGGGGATGGCATTATAAGGAACTCTGCTTAAAGAGGGACCTGGGCTTGAATCGCCCAACCAACCACAGAAATGCAGAGCCTTTGCAATTCACAAGAAGTAAGGTTGTGTTTCCTAGAACCCTAAATGGCGGACAACAGCCCTAGACTGATGGCTGCTTTGGCTCAACAGCCCCAGGTAAGGTTGGAGGCACCCACTAGGGTTACTCATCAGAAATTCTGGCACTGCAAATGCCTAGAAGGGCAAAGCTACCCTGCAGAAATACTCTCTGCCACACACATCCATGTGCCAGGTTTCATTTCTGGATTCCAACCCATTTCTACTGCCTCATAAACACCTGTTCTCTGAAGCCCCTCTCCCAGACACCCCAACACCCACCCCCAGATGCCCCTGTGCACAGCCCAGCACACAACCCATGAAGGGTAAGTTCACAGCACAACCGCCTGCCTCCTCAAGCTGAGCACGCATACCAGCAGCAGGCTGGTTCCCAGCTCCCAGCCCAACATGATGGCGCCTACAGTCTGCACCAATGGCGAGCGATGGCACCCAACCCTGCAGCGGGTACGGCTTCAGCAGACAAGGCGAGCAAGCATAAAGGTGTGAGAACAAGCAACACACACAAGGGAGAGGAGACCCATCCCAGAGAGCACAATCCCCTAGAAAAACAATTTTCACCAAAGCAGGTAAAGAGCAGAAAATGTCATATTGTGCCAATCTGCCTAGGACTTTCTGGGTCTCCACCATATGTCACTGAGAACACACAGTGCACATCCTGGGTGAGAGCAGGACTCTGTGCTCCCAGGATTCAGCTCAAGGTGACTTGCTGGTGAGTATTGGGGTCACTGTCACCAAGTGGTCAAAGTAAAACCCAGTGACAAGTGGCTCAATGTGAAGTCCTTTTCCCTGTTCTACACCTGGTCAAATAGCAGGAACACCAACAATCACCTCCTTCAAGACTCTTTCAGTTGAGAGGACCCTTAAGGTCAAATGCAGGGCTCATGCGGGCGGCGAGGGCTCACCTGGTACGTGTCCCACAAGCGCACGGTGCAGCGCAGGGGCACCTCCCGCATCAGCAGGTTGTTCATCCAGCGGAAGGCGAACTGCAGGTACCGCACCTCGTGCTGCTCCAGGTGCCGGTGCACTTGCTCTGCACAAAACAAACACAGGCCCCGAGGCTGTCAGGGGAGCCCTCTGCAGGCCACAACAGCTGCCATCTGACCCCCAAGGCCCTGTCCCTGAACCCCATTCGGTCAACCAGCACATCCCCAGCAACAGCTCACACTGCACAAGCCTTCCTAGCCCACCCTTCTTGGGGGGATGGAGGATGGTGGCTGGGGGGTGGGGGGTAGTGACAGGGATGGTGAAGACACCTGTGACCTGGGCAGACCTGAGTCCAGCACACAAGGGAAGCCTGCACATCTGGAGAGCCCACAAGTAGGCCCTCTTTCCCCAACCCGACAGCCCTGCCAGACCCAGGCTGCTGTCCAGGGTGACAGGGCTTCAAGAGTGCAGGACACTGGCCAACCTTCACCCTCCTCAGGTAAAATGCTCCTCTGTACCTAGGCCCACTGACATGTCCTTGGACATGGCCAGGTGGCTTCTGGATTCTAGTCTGGGGCACTCCTGAAGATAGCAGGGCCTCTGAAAGCAAAGTGTCGCCAACCAGCATCCCCAGAGCCAAGCCAGTTCAGCCACATGATCCTCCCTCTCACCAGGCCAAGCCTGAGACCCCCTACGTCCTGCCCCAGCCCCTCTGAGAGCCACCATCCCCCTGACATGCTCCCAGGTCCACACACTGTCACCCTCCTCCCCAACTGCTGCCATCCTCAGCTGACCAGAGCCAGGGCAGCGGGACACCTGGTCAGGGGCTGTGCTACAGCTGGATGTGGTCTGTATCCACAGGGCTCCTGTGCTGGAGGTGAGGTCCTGGGCGTGGATCTCTCCCTCTCACACGAGTTCCCAAGCTGGGATCACAGGCACGTGTCTGGCTGTGCTTTATTAAGAGATCTGGGCACACCCAGGCCAACATAAAAGACAGACTTCCGGGTTTCTACAAATGACTTCTCGGAGCCGAGCTGATGCCAGTGCTGTCCTTGAACTCCAGAAATGTGAGCTAAATAAAACTCTTTTCCTTATGATTGTCACGCCTCCAATATTTCACCGTAGTAATAAAAAACAGACTGATACAGGTAGGTGCGGAGAAGAGAAGGTGGTGGGAGGCTGGCTAGGCAGAAAGGATCCAGTGTTCAGGATCAATGCAAATGAGACAGGGAGAGACCACAGAAGGGGCCAACGAGAGGAGCAACAAGTCCTCTGAGCTCCTGCAGCAGCCCGGGAGCAAGGTGCTGGGGGCTGCACCAGCCGTGATACCCCAGAGGAGAGCATCAAGGAGGCTCCCTGGCCCAGGCCAACGGGGGGCCCAGAAGTACCCATATGCCCACCACGTACTGCCTCTGCAAGAACAAAGTTAGGGACCGAGAGATTCCAGGCCCAGCAGAGGGCCAGTCATGGACTGGTCAGGGAGCAGGTGGAATGGAGGCCAGGCAACAGGGCAGCTTACAGGGTGCAGTTCCTACTCATTTCCTACAGACAGGGTGGGATTCTTTTCTGTTGGTTTGTTTTTGTTTTTGTTTGGGTGATTGAACCAACCCAATAATGCCCTATGACTGAACTACATTATCAGTCCTTTTTTATTTTATTCTGAAATGGAATCTCACCAAGTTGCTGAGGCTAGCCTTGAACTTGTGATCCTCCAGCCTCAACCTCCTGAGTAGCTGGGATCATAGGCATGCCCTGGTTTGGCTTTAAGAGATCTAGAACACTTCCATGCAAACATAACAGATGACCCTGCGTGTTTCTATATAAGCAATTTTTTTTAAAGAATATAAAGGGGCTAGGGAGTGTAGCTCAAAGGTATAGCACTTGCCTAGCATAGATGAGGCCCTGGATCCCCAGCACTGCCGAAAATATATTTATAAAAATTGTTTCTAGTTGAAATTATCTGCAGCTATAAAATGAACCTGAGTCCCCAAGGTGGCTCCTTGTCTAGCCCTGACCTTTGTCCATTCCCCAAGGATACAGCCCTCTAGAACTGACAGCCTCACCACAGCCCGGTGCACTGACGTGGGGCACAACAGCCCATGTGAAATTCAACTCTGACAATATCTGGAAACCAGCAGTTTGGAGACCAAGAGAACTTTCTGAACAAGGTCTTTTACTCAGACGACAGGAATGGGAAAGAACAAGCAGTTGGCTACTTGGGGAGGAACAGGCCACAGTGACAGGGACAGCTTCCCAGAGGAAACCGGGGCCTGGAACCAGCAGGGATGATGGGGGGATTCAAAGTGGCATGCAGGGGTGTGGTGAAAGCACTGCTCCTGGGGCTCCCAGGGCTGGTGTGCCCAAGAGGTGGGCACTCCCATTCTGCAGCTCTGCCTTCCTGGGTCCTGTCTCCACTCAGCTGCTGTCACATACACACCTTTGGACAGACTGCCTTGCAGGTAAGGACTGAAGTCCCCTGGTCAGGGTGGGAGGCATACGGCCTTGCAGGGAGCTGTGGAGGGGAGCCTGGTGCAGAATGGCAGGGGACCATGCCCTGGCTGGTGTGCACTCCTTACCAATCCATCTTCACCGGGGAGGGCTAGGAGCAGGCCCATTTCTTGCCCTGATGCCTTTGAGGCTGCAAGTAGAGCATGGAGGCTTGATTTTCACTGTTTCATAAGGTTACTTCAATGACAGATGTTCCAGAAACACATTTAATTTTTCAGGGTTGTTTCTGGCCAGTTTGTCTTAGAAAGGTGCCGCCTGCCTCTGGGCGTGCGTCAGAGCTGTTTATTTTCCAGTTCTGGAGATGTCAACCTTCTCTGTGATGGGCCCGAGTGTGCAGCAGAGTGCCTGCCAGGCTTGGGGAACTGTGACTCCTGCCCGAGTCCTGTGACTCTTGAGAGAGGCTGGTGCAGGTGTCACATAGCTCTTGGTGGGCAGGCCTGGCTCAGTCTCCAAGAGATTCCCCACCTCCAGAAAGTCTCTATTTACTGGGTAAGACCTGACAGTGTCGTTCACCTGAGCCCTGTGCATGTGGAAGGGGTGCAGGTGAGTGCTTGCTTTAAGGCCTCTCTTATAAATTGGACTTGATTTCTCCCTAGCAGACCACAGTGTCTATGTGCAGGTAGAGAGAAAGAATGCATGAGAACCTATATCCCAAAGGTAGAATGCCAGAGGGCTGCTTAACACTGGTAGAAACTGCCTTGAGCTGCGCTAGTAAAAGTGGAGTCAGTGCAGGGTCCAGATTATTAAACACGCCTGTCACAACACTCTTTGACATAGTCAGGTCCTGCCATGGCAGTGGTGGCATGGTTAGTGGAGTGGCTGCTGACTTCTGCACTGCTCATCCGTAGGAGGCTGAAGAGCCGTCCGCCCATTCCCAGCCTTCCTCTGGTGATGATGAATTGGCAAGGAGTGCACGCCAGCCAGGGCACAGAGACCTACATACTGCACAATCTCCCTCACACAGCTCCCTGCAGGGTCACATGCCTCATACCCTGACCAGGGGACCCTTGGCCCTCACCTGCAAGGCAACCTGTCCAAAGTTGTACATATGGCAGCACAGAGTGGAGACAGGACCCAGAACTACCCCCTCCAACAGTGGAACAGCCCCAACCTTGGGCCTCTGGGAACCAGCACCTAGACGTGGTCATCACCCTCCACAGAGCAAAGCCCAGTCGGCATGTGCAAGAGCGCCAGCCAAGGAGGGAAACCCAAACCCAGTGATGACCCGGGAGGACACAGCCAGGCCCTGGGGAAAGGAAGGCTCTCCACTCTTCAGCTCTCCCAGCAGAGATCCACTGGGCCCCACACCCAGGCAGCCTCTCAGGGCAGGCACAGGGAATGCAAGGCCTGCTTCCTGCCCTGGAGCTAGACACCACAGAGGCAGGGAGGACAAGAGAGACGAGCCTCCGAGCTGTCTCCTTGACCAGACTCCCCCAGTACGAGCACCCAGTACCTGGCCTGCCCTCTCTCCTGAAAGGAGCTGAAAGGCTAGTGCCACGCCCATCGGGAACCTGAGTGAGGTGCAGCAAGGGGCACGGGCAGCGCAGCACAAGGCCAGGCTAGGACATACGACAGAACGCCCGTCCTAGAATGAGCTGCAGAGCGTCCTTGTTCACAGGCAGGGGCCCATTTTCCACTGGTTGCGAGCTTCTCTGGAAGCAGGTAAGGAAGAGTGACAAAGTGGACCAGCCCCATCTCCAGCCACCTTCTAATGTGCATAATGAATGTCTGGCAGGGCTGCCTCCTGTTTTGAACAGGGTGAAAAATGGACTGCTGAACTCCAGGCTTGACTTTCAATTTATATACATCAGAGCTGCGAATGTATATGCTGAAAAGATTCGTTTTTTTCCATTTTATAAGTAATTGTGAGCAGATGCTCTTTCACTGATAAAGGTAATTTGGTTAGCAATAGTTCTGAAACTGAAATTTCCATTTCACTGGAAATAAGGGTGTTGTATAATGAATGAGCAGGCAGATGTAATTACTGTCATCTTTCAAACTGAAAAGACATCCCCACAATGCCCTGTGTGCCAGGGCAAGGTGTGCTGGGAAATCACCAGGAAGGGCCCGGTCCCATCAGAGCAGAAGAGGGGACCTTGGTGTCTGCTGAGCACCTTCCGTAGTGATGTCGACAGCAGACCTACAGATGAATCCTATGAAAACATCTCTTCTTGATTGAAAGAGCACTCTGTCCCAGGATTTATGCTAAAAAGGAAAAGACACGATCCCATCGACCTGGCATTAAAACCACTGCTGACGCAGAATCAGACACCACTCAGATTTATCCGCCCAAAGACCAGGCATAGCCACACACATTTAAGATACCCGAGAAACCTTCAGCCTCTGCAGGAGCAGAGAACCGAGTGCACCACACTTGCACTGGGCCAGGTATAAGCCCAGAATAATAGGCTTTCAATTGAGGGCACAACTTCTCCAGTAAGTTTTAAAAGACAAAAAGAAAAGAACAAGAGCCGGCTGGGGGGCAGTGAACACAGGGCCTCCTCCAACCCAGAGCCTCCTGGTCTGAGCTACCCCACCCCTCACAGCAGGTGTGGTACAGGTCAGCCTTCCACAGCTGAGAAAAGGCTGCCTCACCTG